GTCTCCCTCTTTTTTTGTTAAGACTTGCTTCCTGGGGGAATTTACTGCCCCATAGCCTTAGAGTTCCTCTGCGCATCTCGGGCCTCAAAGCCTCAGGCTCTATAAAACCTTGGAGTTATTGGCAGTACCCATTGGGACTTTTAAACTTTCAGTGAAGTCATAGTACTGTGGGCTGTGATTCAAGTAATTCACAAAAGATAAGGATTACAGACATTTAGAAATAAATATCTTCCTATTTTTCGGATACTTAAAAACAATACCCCTTTCAACTAAAAGCTGACACTTGAATACTGTACTTTGTTTTACTACCAAGTGTACTTCAAGATATTCAAAGATATTTTTCCTACTTGGCCTGCTTGAAAGGCTAATGTTTGAGCTTCATTCTTTTGGAGATTATTAAAATGTAAATCTTTTTCTATTAAAATTAAATAATTATCAACCATTTACCTTATAACTTTATTGGGAAGAATGAGGGAGAAGATGAGATAGAGTTAAGGTTTGGAGTGGGTAAGAGGGATCCTCAAGTCATCAGTTTTGCTTTGAGATCGGCCTAGCCCATCAAAGTACAGACCTGAGAAAGTTCTGCTCTCGATGGCCCCACCCCCTGCTTGTGAGCTGGAGTTTAGCTGCAGCATCACAAGGTTAGAAGTTGAGAGCTGTCTTCTAAAATTATCAGTGAAGTGGCTACGAAAGATGCCTGGGCCCAATAACCAACATTTTGAGTTGGTTAGAACCCTGGCTTGTCTAATTGGCACAAATGGACATATTTATTGGACACACCGACTCTGGCTTTGCCATGGGACCTGTCTGCTTCCCAGGTGGTGACACCATTAGGCAGCCTTTGTAGGAGTGAAAACTAGTGCCACAGGAGTTGGGAAAGCAGGAAGAAAGTGAATTTATTTCCTGCCTAAGCGTCACCAAAGTTTGGTGAAGACCTGTCAGGCCCAGGTGTTGTTTTTTTTTTGGATGAGATTTGGATGAGTTCTTCTGAAGGAAATTTCTCTTTTACCCCTTAATCTTCTATTGTGTAGGGGAGAATGGGATTTAGCTCTCATAAAAGGGGTATGGGCTCATGGGTAGATTTTTTCCTCCTTTCTTTTGATCCCTATTTACTGAAATGAATTTTAGGGTTATAAACAATTACTTTTGCTTCATGTTTTTCCTGACCACTTGCTTCTAATTTAGATTGCAGCTGTTGACATTTTAATGAAATCCTATGACTACATTTGAAGATTTTGCATTAACCTCGTAACACCATTTAATCAGTCCTCCTTGGTATGTCACACTGATAAATTATATATCTGCGTTTTGACCTTCAGCACCAACAGGTTAGGTATATCATTAAGACAAGTGTTAGTTACCTAATAAATGCTCTGACACTTGACTGGCTAGATTCAGTTAAATTTACTGTTTCACATAATTCTTCTAAAACTCATGTATATACTTTTTAATGAGCATATGGAAAAACCAAGCTATATCTTAGAAAATAGGACTATATAATACATTCACGTGATGGGATATTATACAATTAAATTGTTTATGAAAAATTTCTAATTGTGTGAGAAGGTGCTTAAGATATGTAAACTGTGTATGTGGTACTCTCTCACCCATAATAAAAATAGTTACATATAGTGAAAATAGTTCAAATAGTGAAGAAAGAGAAAGAGAAAAAAGACACACAGAAAAGAGGTAAACCAAATGTGAATTGTGAATGGTTCTGCCTGGATGAGAAGATTATGAGTTATTTAAATTTTTATTCTTTTCTGTTGCTATATGCAGTTTTTTGTATTGACTGGGTATCACCTTTACAATTAAAAAAAAAAAACCAAACCCAATAAGGAGTTGTAAATCATTTTAACCACCTATCTCAGTAAAGGTTTAAAATATAGTGAACCTTTAAGGTTAAATTAATGCTTTCTGTAATGAGACAACGAAAAACTTCCTCTAAGAAATTTTAAAAATTACTTAGAATTTATCATTTAGCACTTTAAGTTATCTTACATGTCGGTGTTTCCTAAACTGGGTAATGCTGGTGCTAACTTACAGGTTTTGCTGCAACTGTTTGGAAAACAGTAATTCAGAGTTTTACAAAATTGATGGTAGCAGTTATGAAAGTCTTGAGGCATTTTCATTCTGTTTCTTGTGAAAGTATTTCATATTTGAAAATAAACTTTTTACTGAATTATAACACACATTCACAAATGTACACAAATCTTAAGTGTACATATTATATTTTCAACTTACCCTTGTAACCATATCATTTTATTATTTTATGCTGCTACATATCTTTGACAAAAAATTCATGGTTCTGCATTAAAAAGTATATTGTTGTTTAGTGTTCTGTGGTCTCCAGAAGTTACACTCCAGATATTTTGCCCTTTTTGCTCTCATAATTGCATTATCTCTTTGGGTTTTTACATTTTTCAAGGAGCTCTAAAATTTCATTCAGAATATTCTTATTCTTAATTCATGGCAGGAAAATTGGCAATTAAAAATGAAAAAAAAGTAATATGCAAATTACTGACACCTAGCCTGTGCAGATTTAATTTTTTTTTCATTCCCAATGTGGCACATGTTTTCCCCCAGTTGGCTGGTTGTGTGGAACCTGAGTCCCGTGCCTCTGCATATGATACAGCTTAGGTTGCTAATCTGAAGAAGCAGATCAGCAGCCTGCGGTAAGTGTGTCAGGCCTAGAAATCCTAGACCAGGCCGGGAGGAACTTTAGAGATCATTAGTCTCAGATGGGGAAACTGAGTCCTAGGAGGTTACGTGCCTTGCCCAGCGTCACAGAATTGGCGTTGGAGCTGAGTCTAGAATCCAGATCCTAAATGCATTACTAAACCATGCAAGTTCCTATTCTTATCTTAAAATTCACCCTTTTTACTGAAAATGCAATCCTCAGACTGTGAAATCAGCTTCTCAAGAAAGATAAATTACCTAATACGTTTTTCAGCCAAGCTTCTTAATGGGGATAACCTGACAGCATCGACCTGTTTTGGAAAATATCCCTTGGGTTACTTCGGGTGAATGAGGGATGGTGTGGGGTGGTATAAATGCCGGTCTGTAATTGTTTAGAGCAGTTCTGAGAGGACAGTCAACTGGAATAACCCTGGCAATGGGAAAGTGTGGCGTGATGTTGACTTGTGACCCTTCCCTGGGGAGCGAGCTGTGTCAGGAGACCCAACAGAGCTCCTGGAACACAAGGTCTCCAGTCTGTGCTCCTGGTCGCTGGACTGGGAGACTGACTCCTGTGTCTGGAAGAAGACTGTCAATGTTATAGGACTTTTCGCTTTTCATAGTTTGTTTCAGTTGGCAAAGGTAGATAAGTAAATAAGGCCGCTCTCGGGTTTTCTAAGAGATGCAGGCAACATATATTTAGTAAGTATTGATTGCTGCGGTGGGCCCTGGAGTTTTAGTAGTAAGGCATGTCTGTTAGGGACTTAGTTGGTGGAACTGGCAGTCCCAAGGAGAGATCATCACTGCCCTGCAGAAATCCTGGTTCTGTTGGTATGATGTATTGGTATAGTACACAAGTCTCATCAGAGCAAACTGATTTTTTGCCTACCTGTAAATACGTAGGAAAAGGTGTCCTGTGAGTCTCAGATGGCAGTCATCCTTGGCCTGACCTTCAGTGCCACTCACCAAAGTCCCTCCCAGCAGACCCATTCTATTCTTTCTCATTCTCTTTCCACAGTACAAGCCTTCCTCAGAGGCCAAACTCGTTGCTCTGTCCCTCAAATGTCTATGGCTGTTCCTGTCTTTGAACTTTTGGACATGTTTCCTCCCTTGTTTAAAATGCTCCCTCCTCCCCTTCTGTTTCCCCAAATCCTGCCCAACCTTTGAGGACCAACTCAGTTCATATCTTCTCTCCTCAGAACTCATATGGCACTTCTACCCATGCCGTGCTATGAATGATGCAACCTACTAGTGAAGGGCAGACTCTGGAGCTGCTGTGCCTGTGTAACCTTGGCTAGAAGCTTTCCTGAATCTAGATTTCTTCACCTGTAAAAATGGGAATAATATGTGCACCTAGCCATAAGTTGTGCAAATTGAATGATATTATACCATTAAAGCCATAGAACCATGCTGGTACATAGTTCTCCTTAGGTATTAGTTATTTTTCCTTCTAGCTTGTATTTAATCGTGGTCTTCCTTGTGTTATTGTTTAATCATTTTAAGTATCTATTTATTGGCCCCTAGTGATATTGAAAAACCCTCTCATGAAGAAAAAGGCTTGATTTTATACTTTCTGTTGACTTTTCTAGCAATACATGTTCATATAATATTTCCCCAATATATATTGCTTAAAATGAAACTATTACTGTATTAAAGAAATAGATGGAACAAGAGTAAAGAATTGAAGAGAAAATAAAGGCTTCAGTTCACAGATGGAGTTTTCTTATGATTCCTAAATACACAATTTGTTCTTTTTTTTGTTGTCATAGAGTCTAATGAGCTCTTATGTCATAATCACCAGAAGTGTGAACATCGTTTATCAAGGATGCTAGTAATTTCAGGAGGTTGTCTCAGACACTGTTTTCTTCTAGGCCTGTGGTGGGATGGAATCTCAGACAGTATATTCTGATCTATCAGACTATCTCAAAGCAGGTGGGTCCTGAGCTGGATGTTACTAACATTCCCTTGCTGAGGGGCACGGGAAATTCACTAGTATGGAGGGGACCTTACCCTTCAGCCACCCTCTCTCTGCCTTTCCCTCCTCCTCTGTTAGCAGCTCAGATGCTCACAAGCACCACCTTCCCCTGTCAGTGTTCACCGACATTTGGGGGAAATCAAAAGTTACCCTCCTTGGGAAGAGGTGGGGACCCAGGCAGAAGCTTTCAATAAAGAGCTAATTGCAGGCGGGAGTTGTGGTGATGGCAGGAACCGCCAGAGGGGTCCTCGGCTGTCCACCCAGCAACCCGGGACTCCAGCCAGGGCCTCCACAGAGCCTCGTGGGTGCCCTCTCTGTGATGAAAATACTGTGTTTCTCCTTCTCCTAGGCTGGAACAAGACATTAAAAAGTTAAAGGCTGACCTACAGGCCAGCAGGCAAGTGGAACAAGAGCTCCGCAGTCAGATCAGCTCCCTCTCAAGCACCGAGCGAGGGATCCGCTCAGAAATGGGCCAGCTCCGGCAGGAGAATGAGCTGCTGCAGAACAAGTATGTGCACCTATTGGGCCTTTGGTGAGCCAAGTGGATTGGAGCACAAGATTCATGATGACAAAGGGACCTAGCAGAAGGGTTTTTATGTAAAATGCTTAACATATTTTAATCTAGTACCAGATATTCAATGTGTTATAAAATCCATTAGAACTTATTTCATTTCAACAAAAGTTAATATTGCTATTTTGTCTTCTGTCATTTAATAACTTCTCTCAGCTTAAAATAGTTACTGAGCTTTTGTGATAATACAAGTAAAGCTGACAAGTATTTCTGCCATAATTTAAAGCTCCTGCTCCTTTGAGTGAAAGTTTCCAGAGGATTTAGACTCCATTTACTTTGATTTTCAAAACTTAAAAATGGCATTGAACTTTTGAGTTTATTTGAAAAGACAGTCAAAAAGCCATGTCTTCCGTGTGAATTCTTATGCTTCCTATTAATTAATTCTGGAATTACTTCTTGACTTAATGTGGGCTTAATGAAAGAGCCTGCATTGTGGGGCTAGGTTCCTGGTTGAGGGTGTTTGAGAGGCAACTGACTGATGTATCTCTCGCGCATCGATGTTTCTCTCCCTCTTTTTCTACCTCCCTTCCTCTCTCTCTAAAAATAAATAAAACTTAAAAGAAAGAGTAGTCCTTCAACACTTTTAAGGAATGTAACTGAAAAGCTTAAGCATTACAGGCAAACAGTCTCTCCATTGCATCTGCCGCGCATGTGTGATGGCTCTAGCACTGATACATGGAGGACATCTCACCCTTATTGATATATTTAGATAAACTCACCTTATAGTGGTCTGTTACACTGGGGGTGGTCCTAGGTAAAGAAGTTAATAAGGCTGAAATTTCTATCTGAAATGAAGTATTCTGTGACTCTAAGATCTATTTAGGGATACTCTGAAAAAAAAGTCTCACAGCTGGAAAGGAAAGGCTGCAGCATGATTATATTCAGACAAAGAAAGACCTTCCCCTGTCTACCCTTTACATCAGTTTCAGTGAGGCTGGTTCCATTAGCTGTTCCTTGGTCAGACTGAAGTTCTTTCAAGGTGCTTTGGGGCACTTGAATTACTTCAACAGTTAATCTTTTTCTCTGACAGAAACTTGTTTCACCATATTTTCTGAATTACCTTCTGTAGATAGAGCAAAGGCCAAGTCTGATTCTGAATCTTGTATGGCAGCTCACGTATTGATATCTAGGAATTGTTAAATAATAATGACAATATATTTTCCCTGGACACTCTGGTGGTTGATATTTATGATTTGCTGTTCATAGCTTTTGTTTACCTTGGCCTTAAAATAATGAGGAGCTGTGTTTTCCAGGATTTATAGTGGATCTATTCGTAATTATAAAACTCTGTGTAACAATCATTTCCATATAGGTTACATAATGCTGTGCAAGTGAAGCAAAAAGACAAGCAGAACATCAGCCAGTTGGAGAAAAAGCTAAAAGCTGAGCAGGAAGCTCGAAGCTTTGTAGAAAAGCAGTTAATGGAGGAGAAAAAGAGGAAGAAGTTAGAAGAAGCTACTGCTGCCCGGGCTGTCGCATTTGCTGCTGCTTCTAGGTATGTCTGTGTCACCTGAGTGCTTAATCCATGGTTGGCTTTCCTTGTACCAAGACAGCCATGGGAATTTGATGCCTCAGGCAGGATCGGAAATACAGCAGTCGTTCACAGATGGATTGCTTTTAAATAAGGCTTTATTACCCGGTTTAAACTCCATCTGTGCAAGCTTGCACTCTGTTATAACAACTTCATCCTCAGTGACTTCATCTATAAAGTGGGATGAGGGATTCACCATGCCTCCAATTCCTGGGAGGCAAAGTGCTACTCATAAAAGGGTTTCCAGTCACTTTCTTTCAGACACTTAATTACTAAACACTTTGAAAGAACCAATCCAGAATTTTACTTCATTATTACTTCCTACAATTAGATGTGTTTCTGAAGTTTTTATCTTAAAATGGAAGAAAGGTAAAGTCTTGGTTCCCCAAGTACTGTGTACTGACTTCTCTGTTTTTGTTGGGTGTCAACAAACTGTTAAATGAGCTGGAAAAGATGGGGGGAGGGGGCAGAAATGAGCCCTGGCTCGTATTGTTCAGTGGATTGAGTGCTGGCCTGTGAACCAAAAGGTCGCCAGTTGAGTTCCCAGTCAGGGCACATGCCTGGGTTGTAGGCCAGGTCCCCAGTTGGGGGCATGTGGGAGAGGCAACTGTGTGTCTCTCACACACTGATGTTTCACTCACTTTCTCCCTCCCTTTCGCGCTCTCTAAAAAAAAGTAAATAAAATCTTTAAAAAAGAAAAACCATGTCAAAAAAAAAAAAAAGAAACATAAGTCACTATTAGATACCATTGAATTTGTGCAGTGATGAAAATTAGGGACTACTTCCTATGCCATTAAAAAGTATTGCAGATATTCCAAAACCTGCTATGTAACTGCCATCTGAATATCAGCAAGGAGGGGAAACGGATAAGAACCTCTCTGTTTTTGGCTTCTACTTCACATTATCACTTTTTTCCTCTGTTTTCTTGAGTAGTGAAGTCATCTGCATAGTGAGGATCAGCTGTGGGTTTACAGCTGCAGAGTGAGGGTAAATTATTATTATTTATTTCATTTTAAGTTTCTATCATAATTTGTATCTATGTGATATAATTCTACTGGCATTCTTCCTTGGATTTTACTTTTTTGTATTTGGTGTGTTAATAGCCTTCTTGGGTTCTGGCATTTGCAAAATAATTGATCAATCGGCAGCTTACTTTTTTAGGAAATAACAGCAGGAGAGAACTTTTATCTCCTGTGATCCTGTTTCCCCTCAGCAGACTCTGTAGTGCAGATGGCTGAGCTCACTGGGCCCATCAGCATCTATACAGATGCACAAGGCCCTTTACTAGTCTGCCTAAGCCTAACCCTAACTTAATGTGGGGTTTTGGAGTCTTTTTTTTTGTTTGTTTAAAGACATGTAAGCATTTCTGAAGCACTTGCAGATCTCTCTGAACAATAATCTAGTATGGCCTGTACTGTCCTTAATTTATCTTGTTTAAAAAAATCCCTTAACCATATTGTGTAGTGCCTCTTATGGCTGAGAATCAGTAAATTAGTTTTAATCTACTCTGAATCCTTTTTTGTTTCCAGTTAAGCTTATTTGTTTTGGTCTTATCCTTAGATGGTCCTTGTTTGCCATCACTTGTGTAGAGATTGTTTTTATTCTCAAGGCATTAAGTTTCTCACTGGACCTACATTTTTGGGTAGGCAAATGACACCTACTTTCTCCATCAGGCTGTTTCTGATGTTAATCAGCTTTGGACTAGCCTTTACCATCATCTTTTGTAGTTTATACTTATTACAGCCTTGAGAAGCCACCTAATGCTGCTCCCTTCTTTTTTTGTTTATTCCAGGCCTATGGCAATGTTATAAAAGAAAGGTAAAAGTCCCAATTCATAGTCCTTTAAGAGTGAAATTTTTTTTTTTTGGCTCACTGCCCTCTGCTGGGCCTGGCTGCCTCTGTCTTGCTCACTTTGTGTACATTGTCTCAAGTCACCTGGCCCAGTGCTCAGTCCTTATCCCAGTTCTGTGACCTGCAAACTGGGTGACATTGGACTAGTATTATATTTATGTAGCCTCGGTTTTCTTATTTATAAAATGGTATAATATACCCTATCCCCATAAAGAAGGTAGTATGGGTAAAATACCTAGCTTGGTACCTGGCTCATATTATATACCCAGTTAATGACAATTACTTAGAGAGTTCATTGAAATTGTCAAAGAATAAAGAAAATCAGCTGAGACCTGACTCTGGAGTATAAGAGAAATAGCAATCCTGCAATGTAAGTAAACCTATAGTCTTTTAAGTCCCCTTATTTCCTTTTCTTCTTTTTTAAAAGGGGAGAGTGCACCGAAACCTTACGGAATCGGATCAGGGAATTAGAAGCAGAGGGCAAGAAGCTCACGATGGACATGAAGGTGAAGGAAGACCAGATCAGAGAACTAGAACTGAAAGTTCAGGTAATGAGAGAACCAAAGACTTTCTTGTACTTGAATTCCTCTTCTGTGTTTGATCTGTGGTCTATGATATAATATGGAGATGTTACCTTTTGATACGAGCAAATCCCATTGCATCTGAAAATGTCTGTACAGCAAAAGGAAGCGCTAATCTTTCCAACTCATTTATATTGTATTTAATTAGGCAGATTCTAATACAAGCCAGAAATGTGGATGGTCCCTTGACATATTTTATACCAGAATTTGTTGTAGATTCACTTCATTTTTTTAGATTAGAGGCCAGATTAGTGTCCTTTGGAATTTATACATATCTTATTAGTCCTAACCCCCTGTCCGTCACCAGGGAATTGGCCATTTTGGGTGGCTCTGAGCAGTGCATGGTGAGGAAAGCTGCCCGTGCTGTGGACAGAGCCAGTTTTGGGGCCATGTGTACCATAGTCAGATATTTGGCATTGGCTCTTCAGGGGAACATTTAAAATTAATGTCATTCATTGTAAAACTACAGTAATTTGACTCATGTGGAACTGGTAAGAAATTACTGGCAGGTCAGTTGGAGTAGAATAGATGACTTAGAGACAAAACCAAAGTGTGCAGTAAAGGTGGCATCAGAAATGGGCAGGAACAGTGAAGAGAAAAATAAAATTAGAAGGTCATCTCATATTACACAAAAAGAAATTCCAGATGAAAAGTTGAATGCTGAAAAAAAAGAAACATTTTGTTTTAAACTAGGTAAAAATATAGTAGAATTTCTTTGATCTTGGGAAGACTTTCTAAACAAAATTAATGGAAGAGGTAACAGAAGGAGACTAAGCTTTGATGAGCACACAACGCAGTATACAGATGATGTATTAAAATACGGAAACTTACGTAGTCTTATTAACTACTGTCACCCCAATAAATTTAATATAAAAATAAAATAAGTAAAAATTTATACTGCAGTCAAAAAATAATGGAAGAAAATCACAAAGTGTAAAAGTAAAAATGAAAAAAAGTCAATTGGGGAAGGTATAGAAAGATACTGCAACAAATATAAAGAAGGAATTAATACTTTTGATATGTAAATAACTCATAAAAATTGCTAAGCTCAAATATACAAAAAAATAGGCAAAGGACGCAAACAGTTAATTCCAGAAGAAATATAAATGGCTGATACAAACATATCCATATATCCATATTAATCACCAAAGAAATAGGTTAAAATTGGGTATCACTTATCTCCTGTGATATTAACAAAGAATTTTAAAATTATAATATCAATCTGGGTAAGCCTGCAATGAAATAGGCCTCATACATTGCTGGTGGAAATGTAACTTTTTGGAAAGGGTTGTGTACTTTTTAAGTATTTGAATTTTTAGGACTCCAGCCTAAGGTAAATATTTTAAAATTTCACCAATGATAGCTATACAAAGATGCTCATTATGGTGGTATATAAATGCAAGAAATGTGGAAACAATCTTAACAAATAGGTGATTTGTTTAATAAATTATGGTACATATATATGTGGGAATATTATACAGCCATTAAAAATTACATTTTCAAAGAATATTTGAAATTATGTTTTTAAACTATACAAAGCTGTACATACTGTGATTTCAGTTATATTAAAAATATACATATGTTTAAAAGACTAAAAGAATATATATCTGATTTTTCAGTGTTGGGATTTTGGGCAATCTTCATTTTCTTTCTTGAATTTGAATATATTTTTAAATTCTCTGTAATAAGTTTGGATTTCTCTTAAAATTAAGAAATTAAAATATCTATATACATACATTTAATAACTGCATTATTAAATGCAGATGTTTTAAGCGGACTTATTCTGCAGTATGTCCTGTCAAAGTAACTAACATTTTTGCAGTTTTTAGTGCAGGTTGAGAGTGCATTTTTGGCAAATTTTACTATAGTATCATAGCAACATTTGCAACTGGCAGCAAGGAAAATTTCTTTGTGGTTCTGAATTAGGCTTGTAAGAAAGTGTTTTATTTGGAGACAGAAAGGCCCAACATAGTCAAATTTATCTACTAAAATGTTTTCATATGTGCACATCACCACATAAATACATTTTGCACTGCCTCTAAGTGGTGAGGTCTAAACCCACAGAATACTAGCATTCTGTGTTCTAGGGGCCAGGTCAATAATAGCGGGATTTTATTTGTGATTTCAGGCTAATTTATAGACACCGATGCCAAAACTATCTTGTAACATTGCTGCTTTGATGATATTGATAGGAGCTTCGGAAGTATAAGGAAAATGAGAAGGACACTGAGGTGTTAATGTCAGCTCTCTCAGCCATGCAAGATAAAACACAGCACCTGGAGAACAGCCTGAGCGCAGAAACGAGGATCAAGCTGGACCTGTTCTCCGCACTAGGGGACGCAAAACGACAACTTGAGATTGCCCAAGGTAGGAGAACAGTGGGCCCCAGGTGAGGTGGTGCACCTGAGAATGCAGAGACACAGAGCGTTTCCATTTTCTCCTTAAGCGGCTAAGTGCCCAACATTGACATTTAGGAATCATCACATTAATTCATTCTTGCAGACATATTTTGAACTGACAACATGTCAAGAGCAGGGCATACAAAGAGTATGAGATTCTGTGCTCAAGGAGCTCACAGTGTTGTTGAAAAATCAGAGCACTGCAGAGTTACCCAGAGGTGCTGGTGGCAGCAGTACATGCAGGGTCCGTGGGAACATAGAGAAAGGCAGGGACGAAGCCAGCCCGGGAGTCAGAGGGCTCGGGGAAGCTGATGTCTGAGCCAGGTCCTGCATGATGAGAAAGGGTAGCCCCGTGAAGAAGCAGTATAGTGGGGGTGAGAGCTAGAGAGGCATCTGAACAGAAGAAGCAGCTCAGGCGAGGCCAGGGAGACTAGGAGGGCCTGACATGTTCAGAGCTGCCACTGGCTCTGCTTGGCTGGAGCAAAGGTTACAGACAAAGGACTGGTGACAGGAGACTCTGGAGAGCTGGCTGTTCACTCAGCAGATATTTACTGAGACCTACTGTGTGTCAGGTACCATGAGTATCCCTGAGAGGACAGACAATACAAGCAAATATATGTCTGATGGTGATGGTGCAGTGAAGAAAATAAAGCAGTGGCAAGAAGGCAGGGTGTGTGTGTACACACGCTAGTTTGATACTAGTGGAGAACGTGAAAAATCCTTTGAGTAGACAACCTTTGAGCAGAGGCTGAAAGGGAGAGAATGAGTGAGTCCTGTAAATCTCTGGGGGAAAAGCGCTTCAGGCAGAGAGGGAGCATGCGTGGTGGCCATTGGGATGGCAACCCAAGTAATGGAGAGAGTTGTCAGCCTCAGAAGTGGCAGCAGCCACATTCTGCCAGACTGTGTGGCCCATAGAAAGGACTTTGGACTTGACTCTGAGTGACAGGGAGCATTTTTGGAAGGCTTCTGAGCAGACACATGACATGAACTCATGAACAGAAATTTGGATTTTGTCTAAGAAATTGATTGGCCACCAGTGGGTTACTGGGGGGTCGGGGGGGAATGTAAACAATTGACTTAGTAGAAAGAAACAAGTACTTTCAACAAGTACTTAGCATTCACGCTTACTCTGTGTAAAGCATTGTACTAGAAGCTAAAGGGGAGACAAATGTACAAGATAGAGTCTAGGGCAGCGGGGCTCAGACTTTTTGGCCTCAGGGAGCCCTTTATGCTCTTATTATTACTGAGTACACCAAGGAGGGCTTTTTTTTAACTGGATTATATCTGTCAATATTGACCTGTTAGAAATTAAATCTTTAAACATTTATTTCTTAATTCATTTTAAAATAACATAAACATATTACTTGTTAACATAATGTATTTTTTTTATGAAAAATAGCTGTGTTTTCCAAAAAAAAAATTTTAATGAGAAAAGTAGCATTGTTTTACATTTAGTAAATGTCTTTAGTTTCTGGCTTAATAAAAGTAGTTCCATTCCCATCTCTGTTTCTATATCCACTCTGTTGTAAGTTCACTTGTCATGTTGATTCTGGAAGATTTTTTTATGTCCTGAGGGAATGATGGTGAAGAAGGCAAATACTGTGTAGTGAAGGTACAAATATATTGTAGTGAAGGTAGTTTGGATTCTGTGGCCCCTGTGAGAAGGCAAGCAAGCAGCAGGGCCTGCTGCCATTAGGTAGAGGCAGAGGGCTTGAAAGGCAAGAGGAGAGGTCAGTGGTGTCTTCATGAGGGAGGGTTGTTGAATGGGCTTTGAAGCATAAATTCTGAGAGCGGAGAATGGCAGGGAAGAACACTGTTAACCTGAGGGAATAGTGTAAGTGAAGGAAAGAAAGTGCTGGGAATGTCCAGGCGAGAGTCCAGTGACCTCGAGTTGGGGGACCTGGAGTTAAGATAGTGGGAGATCAGGAGGACCACAGATAAAGCCATACTAGAGAACATATTCCTCTGTTTTCAGCAGAAAGGAGTGACACATTCTGGCTGTTATTTTGGAAATGGCTTTCCAGTAGCAGTGCGAAAGGTGGGTTTAAAAGATGGGCTGGAGGCAGAGAGGTCAGTTAGGAAGCTACCACTGCCTTCTAAGAGGTGGGGATGGTGGGGGAGAAGGACGGTCCCCACATGGGATGGGGGATAAAGTTACTGGAACCAAGGAAGAAGAGCAGGAAGATGTGAGGAATAAGAAGAGGGGTGAGTTTGGCCTGGGATGTTTTCATTTGGAGTTGCTTCTTGGACACCCAGGTAAAAATGTTCAGTCAGTGGGAATTTTGGACCTAAAGCCCAGAGAGACGACCAAAACCCCTGTGGGTGGGGGGAGGGATACAGAAGTTGTGAGAAGGTAATGAAGCCATAGGAGTGGCTTGGGGTGACCCAGATTCTAGAGCAAGAAGAGAGGAGAGCTGAGAGACTCAGGCTCACTAATCTGTGGACTCAGAGAACGGTGTTTAAAAAGAAGGTTCCTGGAAGTCCTGCTCTAAAGCCGAACTTCTGATCATACACTGGTTTTTTTGGTTTGTTTTGTTTTTTCCCTACTTGGCTCAGCTCCCTGAGAATTGGCTACCTCTTTCTGCTGCAGCCAGTACACTTGGATTTGCCAACTTGGAGGGGATCCACCCCACCCCCACCCCTGCAGTGAAGCAGCACCTGGTCTCAGAGTAGCCAAGGGGAGCTTGATTTGTCAGCCCCAGAATTCTTGTAAAGCAACAAAGAAGGAGAGAGAAATGTCTTTTTCAAAGCTCTGGGAATGTTTGCATTACTGATTAAAGAAATCAAACTTAAATCTGCATAGAAAAAAAAGACCCAGTGACTCATATATCAGATGCAGTAAGGTATTTTATTCATCTGAGGCTTATTTTGTTAAAAGGGAAGAAGAATTTTGAGGCTTACTTAAAGCTGAGGGGACGTAACAGAAGTCTCAGGGAGCAGGTCCTTTCTAGGTCTCTTTGCTGCTGCCTTCCTCACTACTTCCCTTCAATGTCATGCTTAGAGTATTCTAATAAGAACCCAACTTTGTAATTCAAATCAAACCCATGTTGCCTTTCTCCTTTCTACTTTCTATATCACTTGATTCATCCTAGTTCCAAAATGACTTTCATCTCTACTACATCCTTTTTAAAAACATGGCACCATGTTCAGTTACATTTTTAAATATATTACCATCTGCAGTAGGACTGGGATGCAATTCAAATTCAGCCTCTTTCTTTTCTAAGCACTTACGTTTCTGAAGGCTGTTCCTAAGTGTTCTTGCCCTCGGAGACCAGGGAGCTTCAAAGAATGATGGAAATTGCATGGACTTTGGAAGAAAGTGGTCCTGGGTTGAAATCCTGCTCTACCTTTTAAAATGACGGAATGACTTTGGGCAAGATATGTAACTTGCCAGGGCCTCAGCTTTATCCTGGGCTGGGCACTAGGGATAGAGTAATGGGGGAAGAAAAGTAGATAGTTTCTGCCCTCATGGAGCTTGTGGTGCAGTGGAGAGATGCTGGACACACATCATTACCTAAATGAATAAGGGACAGAAGAATGTGGTAGGTAGGCTTGCAGACTCTGGAGCCAGGCTGTAGAGATTTGAATCTTGGCTGTATTCAACTTCTGTGCTTCAGTTTCCTCATCTATAAAATGGATGATGATGATGATTTCCACGTGATAGGGTTGTTGTGATAAATAAATAAGCTTGTATATGGAAGTACTTAGAACAGTGTCTGGCACATATGTGTTAGCTATTGTAGTTATTATCATTGTTACAAAGAGTGAAGTAACAGAAAGGGAAGATTAGAGTGTGTTGAGAATCTAGGAGTTGGGGTGGGTAGGTAAGGTCTGATTTAAATGAAAGGATTGGGGAAAAGCTTAGTGAGGAAGTAGAAACAAATCACGAGAGTTAACATAGAGAGCAAGAGAAGCCCGAAAAGGGAAATAGCCCTGAGGCAGGCAGGAGCTGGTTAGGTAAGAAACTCAGTGTAGTGGGGGAGGGTGTTAAAGCCTCCTGCCAAGTGCGGCAGAGGCCTGAGTCACAGGAGAACGCCCAGTGCAGCAGCCGCGGAGCTCCACTTAGTTTCTGTTAAAAGAACCTCAGGGCAAAGTGTATTGTTGGGACTGATTCCGGGACCTCAGTTGTTCTGTATGCCTTGGTCTGACACTCAGAGATAGTCTACTCTCCCAGAAAGACATTGCAGCTTAAGAGAAAGAACCATAGTTCAAAATCAGCACCGCCTTATGCTGTCATTGGTGACCTGGCATGCTCGAATCGTGGCTCCTGGAAATGAGCCTCTTTGCTTTGTCACACCTACATAAACAGAATCCCTTTTTACCTGTAAACCATGGCCCTCAGGCCATACCTGGCCTGCCACCTGTTCTTGTACCACCCATGGGCTAACAATGGTTTTTACATTCTTCCGTGGTTAAAAAAAGTAATAATAATAAACCATGACAGAGACAGCATGTTGCTCACAACACCTAAAATATTTACTGTTTGGCCCTTTAGAGGCAAGTTTGCCTCCCCTACAAACCATCAAAGCTGGAGGCACATCCACTTGGGATTGGCCCAGAAGGGCGTTGTGTTGGGCTAGCTCTCCCTTCTCACTAACGGCGGGTCTTTGATCTTCCAGGACAAATTCTTCAGAAAGACCAGGAAATCAAGGACCTAAAACAGAAGATAGCCGAAGTCATGGCCGTCATGCCCAGCATAACGTACAGTGCCGCCACCAGCCCCCTGAGCCCTGTCTCCCCCCACTACTCTTCCAAATTTGTGGAGACCAGTCCCTCCGGACTTGATCCCAATGCCTCTGTTTACCAGCCCCTGAAGAAGTGAAGGCCAGCTGTATGTTTTGCCCAACACTTTCGTTACCAGAAGGCATTGCAGAGGAGCGTGTCTGGCAGTCAAGATAAAAAGTTTATATTGTATTTTGTGGGACTGTATATGTTGTCGTTTTTAAAAAAGGGGGGGAAGATAACATCCAAGTCTAATTAGAACTGCCCATCAGTTTTTCTTGTAAATTTTTAGAAGACCTCACAGAACTTTGCAGTTTATTTTTCTCGGCCAATACATTAAAACCGTTCTTGGATTTCAAGTAGCCAATTTTGCCTTTTATGTATTCTTACAGTTTCCTCTTGAAGAAGAAGGGAGAAAAAAAGGCAGGATTTTTGCTTCTCAATCCTCTATTTTGTTTTGTTTTGTTCCTAAATAAGCAAAACCTGCACATTGGATCCGCATGGGGTGATAATGACAAATTTTAGTTTAGAGTGAAAGTTAAATAACCTAACACAGTTTTGATTGGATAGCTGCATTCAAGAATATGATTCTTGATGTTACAGAAAACAAAAATCGATTACTCCTACAAAAATCGATTACTCCTGTAAGGACCAAACAAATTCAAATTCAAGGAATGTCATTGAAACTGAGGGGAGAAACGCAGGCGAGGAGACAGCGGTGAGACAGTAACAGGGGTTGTGTTCGAAATGTTTATACTCCCACCAGTGTGCGTAGTCCTAGCAAATTGCTAGCAGCAGTCTTGTTCACAGTGCCTTGGGAAAAGACATTTCAAGAGGAAACTTGATGATTTTAGACTGTTTTCCCCCTTTGTCGTCATCTGTCTTCTATCTGTATCAAGCTCACTGCGGATCCTGCTGTAAAACTGGTGGGTAGCTGGGCTGTTCGTTACCACCACGGCCACGTGTTCTGTTTCTTTTCCTAGAAAGCACCACAGTGTTCTGGATTGTCTGGAGGCTGGCACCTTGGGAAGGGGAGCTGGGTGGTATCTGTGTACCGGAGACTGCAATGACAGCTAATAAAAGCTGCAGTTCTAGGCTTTTTGTTTTCATTTTGTTTTGTTTTGTTTTCATTTTATTTCATTTAACTGTGCTTTCCACCGTTTATCATCTTGTGTTTGACAATTTAGAAGAAACTTGACTATTCCTCAGCTCTTGTGCCAAGGAGTATTTTTTTTAAAGAGTTTTAAACTCAAAACTCTGCACAAAGATTTCAGTTTCAAGTGTATATTATACATTAGTAGAAAAGTGTTTGCACTGGCAACTTCGGAAGTGTTTAAGAATCAGGGTGGGGGTGGGGGGAGGGACTGGGAGAGGGAGGGACAAAGCAAAATTGTATTTGGAAACTCGAAAAATTAAGAAACCAAATAGATTGGTTTTGCTTCCTTGCCATGGATCCTGGAAGGACATAGTTCTTCTAAAATTTCCTGTTAATTGGCATGTAAGTCTCATTTAAAGCAAATTAAGTAGGACAAGCAAGTCAGCAAAATAGAAGTATTAAAAAGAATCATCCTTTTAATCACAGATCTTATTTTGGGATTAAAAAAAAAAATCAAGCTTTAGCCAGGTGTGCATGTTGCTGCCATTTTGCATTTTTGAATCATCTTGTGTAATTGTCACCATGGAAGTGTTACTCAGAATTGTCATAGATTTTTTTTTCATCTTTGTGCAAAAACATGGAAAATTGTCACTGACTTTGTGTTGAGGTTTCCCCCATTTTGCTGCCTTTTGGGACACTATTTTCGTTAAATACTTGGTCTTGGCTGCATTCTTTTTTTTCCCCCCTGTGGGGTTCAAAAGAATAAACATTTTCTTACAGATAAAACTAGTTTTCTGCCTTTTTAACTTTTCAGGAGGGCACAACAAGTTAGATTGTTCTGAATGGATCTTAGATTGTTGCTCTTGTTCTCTCATCTCAGCACCCTGTCAAGGGGCCTCGGCCCATGCAGTGGGGAGCAGACACAGGATTTGGGATGAATCCATCCAGGGTCCCAAGCTGGTTTCAGTTCTAGTCTTTCTTAAGACATAGCCATTCTCATTCTCTTTCCTTCCCCCTTCCTGCCCTCCTTCCTCTGTCCCTACCCACCTCCTTCCACTCTGCTCCCTCACTCTTTCTTTCTCTCTGGTATCTGATTAGAACCAAGGCCGACTTGTCTTTTGGTACAACCCTTGTTTCCTAGAAAAGCATGTTAGTCGTGGGGTTGGAAGGTAGTTGGTGGGAAAATCTTGAGAGCAAATTTTTTTCCCCGGGTCTGGAGTCTTGTTGACCCACTTTGTGATCAGTATCCTGTTGGGTTCCTGTCTTGCTACTGATCCTGAGCTGCCCTCCAAGGTAACCACTTCGAAGTCCCTCCTTGTTTCTACAGGCTTTGCTTTCATCCTCTGAGAAGCCGGGTGCCTCTCTTGGCCTCTGTTTCTCTCTCTTGGCCATTGTTACAGTTGATCTTGGCTCCAGTTTTTGAAAATTCTGCACTCGGCACCTTACCTCTGTCCTGCTCGCTGGATAGCCTTCCTAGTCTCGGCCATTTAGGCTCTTGCAGACACACCACAAGATACCGTGAGCAAGAGTTCTCAGGGGAAACGCTTTGGCTTGCCTTTCGCTTTGCCTTCCCTGAAGAAGTGCGCCTGCCTATAGTATCCTTGTGGGCACGCACTTTTCCACCAAGGAGCTCTCCAGTTGTCATCTTTGTTACTCTAGGCCCATCATAAAATGGTTCCATGTCTTAGTACTTTATAATTTGTTACATGCCATAAATCTGTGTTTGCCATTCTGGATGGTTAAATATTTACCTAAACAGTGAGCCAAGCATGTTTTGACTGACTGAATAACCTCTCTTTATTGACATCCCAACTTGACCTAAGGAAATAGCTGTCATGTGTGTCCATTCTTCAGTGACAGTCTTTCCAGAGGTCCTATAAAATGACAATGAACAGTTCTTCATGGCTCCCAGCCTGAAGGAGAAGAATGGTCCTTTCTGTGACCATCCCAGTTTCCCATGTCCACCCAGCTATAGGAATTGGGCTATCGCAAGCCACCCGGGAGGGCCGAACATTTCTAACAGCTGCTATCAGATTGCTTCTTGGAAAATTCACACCACACCAGCGGGAGCTGAAATGATAAACTGGAAACCTACCTGAAAGCCAATTCAGTGAAGTTCAACTAGTAAAGTGTTTTCAAGTGGGCCTGCAGTAGCTAGATCGGTTTACAATTATAGGACCTCTGAGACCTATAAATGCCTGGTTTCCTGTGACTTTCAGTGACATGTCCTCTCTCTAATGGCTCTAGTCTGCTTCAGGCCACGCAAAGGCCCATGGCATAGGCAAGCCCTCTAGACAGGGAGGGGATCTGCTCCCAGCTCTGCCACCGTCCTCTCTGACCTCCCTTAACCTCTCTAGGCAGGTGCTGTTTCCTCACCTCAAACAAGTAATTGTGCTGGAAGGAGTTACTGTGGGAACTGAGTGAAAGGACGCAAAAGAGCTCTGCAAATGATGCAGGGCCTTCCAATGGAAGTCCGGAACCATGGGCAAGGAGCCATGGTGAGGCAGGGGCCTGGCTAAGGATTCCTGTTCCTGGATTAGCTCCAACCCCACAGCCCACCCCCTGGGTGGGGCTCCTCAAAGGTGTGTGGTCTGCAACTTCACTTTGGGTGAGCAGCATCAGCATCCCTGGGACCTCTTTTCCAGACCCGCTCCCAGACCCCGTCTGAATCTGCAGTTTAACAAGGTCTCCAGGTGGTTCAGTTGCATATTAATTGTTTGGAAGCCCTTGTCTGAGCTGCTTGCCTAACCTAAAAACTCAACACTGTCACTCTCTTGCAGTTCAGAAAATGCCAACACTCAGGCTTCGAAAATTCAGAATTAAGAGCTTAATTGATGAGGGGCAAGCTGAAGATAAAGAACTCCAAGCTTATACATTTTGCGTATTTTATTTTCTGCCCTCTAGAATGTAAGCTCTAGGAAGGCAGAGACTTTTGTCTGGTTTTTTGCTATTGTAACCCCGGAAGCTAGATCAACGACTGCCACATAGGAGCTGCTCAATAAATACTACTGAATGAATAAGGTTAACTAATAGATTAGATAGGTAATCTGAAATACAGTATCTTAACTGTATCAGAGCATCTCTGTAATAGTTCTAGTAGAATGACAGTAAAACTAGAACTGTTCCTAGGAAGAGGGGGGAAAATTTGAAGCGGCATATGTATTGAGACATCATCCATCTGCCTGTTTGGTTTCTGCCGAAACTTTGTTTTCCTTGTCAGATTTTCTCTACCAACTCCTGCTGGACTTAGCCAGGTGCAAAGATTTCCTAAACATCTGGATGTAGTGGGAACCTGCTGGGGGCCTACCCGTTCTTCACCCATTTGTAGCCTTAGACCAGATTCCCCGAAGTGCCAGCACAGCTGCATCGAGTCAACTTGGGGATTTTTCATTTTGACTGTAATTGAGTTAGAAAGCGTTTCCTCCAAGAAGGTATCTGGTTAAATGAATGTTTCAACAATCTCCTTCCATCTGCCCAACGGGCCACACTTCTTTCCTTGCCTCCCTCATTCCTCGGGCTTACACTTTTCCTGCTTTAGTCCTACCTCAGTGGTTGTTTTTCATTCCTCTACCGTTGCGTGAGGTTCAAGTCTTGCTAGGGTTCTGGAATCACCCTGTCATTAAACTTCTGATCTCCTAAGAACCCCAGGCTTAGCGTCACACAATATGGGGTGGCCCTTTAGGCCCTGTTTTAGAAGCCTGGACTGGCTTACCTCTCAGAGACAGTCCATTCTGCCCCTGTTCAGCTCTGCTGCCTCCAGACATCTTAGGGTTGAGAGGGAGGTGGGACTGAGTGTGGGCGGGGACCTCTATGAGGTGTCTGGCCTGGCCCCAGTGCTTTCAGCATTTTCCTTTCTTCACCATTCCCTTACCTTTTGGCCTTAGGCCTCTGTGTTTTGACACGTTACCTGATACCAGACCCATAATATATCTAGAACAATAGTTCTCAAACTTTGGGATTCATCAGAACTCCCTGAATGTCTTGTGAAAACACAAATTTCTGAGCTCCACCCCCACTGTCTGATTTAGGAAGTCTGGGGTAAGGTCTGAAAAATTGTGTTTATAACGAGTTCCCAAATGAAGCTGTGTTCTGGGACCCAACTTTGAAAACGAGTGGCAGAGAGGAAGGGCCGCCCAAGGGGCTGGAGCCATCCCCTCCACTTGCCACCAGAGGGCCCGTGCCACCTTAGGGAAGGTCTCAGCCAGCTCTGCTGGACAGCTGAGGTTCTTCCTTAAAGATTTCTTTGTTTTTTAACTGTAACTTTCATTCTAATGTGTTAGGAAGAAGAAATGTTGATCTAAAAAATAACATGGATTCCTGTAGTCTGTCTCTGACAAGTGTCAACAGTCTGATGGACCGGTCTTTTGAGGGTACTGAATGTCCCCATCATTTCTTGAAACTTTCAAGAAATGGAACGCTGTTCCCATGGGAGACCGCCAGGCCCCCGCTCCCCCAACACACTGAAGTGGGGGCTTTCTTTCAGAACATCCTGGAATCACTCCATATCCTGAACCCGAGGGGCAATTTAAGATTATAGGTGATTTTCATCTTCTTTATACTTTACCACGTATTCCAAATTTTCTACGTTAAATTTAATATTACTTTTATAATAGAAAATAATGTTTTTGAAACACAAGTGTAATTAAAAGCCAAAACAACTAAAAAAAAAACAGGCCAACAACAGCCCAAGGGGAACTTGGGGTGAGCAGCATGGGGTAAAGAGAAGCCCTCACCCGGAACTAGCCCCCACTCTCCTGCCTGTTGGTTGTGCCCAGGTATTTACTGCCCGGGCCGGGGGCCGGGAGGAGATGGGTCACAGTGGGTTCCGTGTTCAGAAGACCTGGCTGGACCCAAAGAATAGACGGGGTACCTGTAAGAGCTCTGTCACCTTTACAGTTCACCTGTTGTTGAAGCTCAAGGCCCGATGTCCCAGCCTGAGCACAGCACTATGTCACATCCACACCAGGCCTTCTTCCCCGGGCCAAGCAGTGGAAGCGAGCCAAAGGCACTAAACTTAGAGACTTTGCAACCCAGAAGTTCCTATTTAATGGCCCATAGACATATTTTGTTTGAACTGCATAGAACTGAATAACTTTGAGCTAACGTTTAAAAATTGGGAGATTTCACATTATCCAGATTTTGTTGTTGTTGTTTTCCGCTGAAAAATCTGCTGGCCTGGCATCGCGGGCTGGCATCCTCCTCCGTGCTCTGCAGGACTTGGGAGGT